AGATGAAACAACAACTGCGGAAGGTGAGCAAGGGGAAAAGAAAACAAGTGAGCAAGAAATTATCTGGGATGACGAGGCAGTCGATGCACTTTTAGATCGCTCTGCTGACGATCCCAAAGAAAAATCGGGTGAGAAAAAAGAACATTGGAGTAATGAATATCTTTCATCGTTCAAAGTTGCGCAGTATACTACTCGAGAAGCTGATGAGGAAGAGTTGGAAGATGAAGTAAGGAATCGGAGTGTTTGACAGAGATTTCGTTTCAGTTTGTTGCAGTCTTATGCAGAATTCTTTTTCCTTTAGTTTGTTTTGATCGGAGTACGAGGGCTGAAAAGTTTCAGGACAAAACCGAAGTAATAAAGGAAGCAGCACAAGAAGCTGATCCAGACTACTGGGAAAAACTTCTTCGTCATCATTACGAGCAAGAACAAGAAACACAGGCGCAAAAACTCGGTAAAGGAAAACGTGTTAGAAAGCAGGTAGATACCCATTTTTAAATGACATAATTAAATTGCTTATTGTTACTCTGTTTTGGAAATAGAAACGAATAATATACGAATTTGCTTTTATAACTTTTATATCGTGGCTTAATTATCACATGTTCCGGAAAGGTCGTTTTGGACTTTTATCAACCATCATTTTGGTCGTTTAGGTTAATTATGCGTCAGAAAATATGCAGCAAGATTGGCAACAGATGCATCCAAATAATGATGATTTTTCATCTTCATATAGCGGTGATAGTGGTCGTTCAGATGGTGAAGGAGAGGATGATGAATTTGACAGCACTCAACAAGGAAAGAAACGCCATCGTGATCGTGGTGATGAAAAACTTCCCCCACTTCTTGCACGTGTAAATGGCCAGTTGGAAGTTAGTCTTTATTGTAGTATTTGGGCTAACTTTAGGTTTTATTATGAATTGTTAATAAAAGTTATCATTAACCTTAGAGACATTGTAATTCTCATGGTTTATTCATTTCAGGTTTTGGGTTTCAATCCAAGACAACGACGAGCATTTTATAATGCAGTTATGCGTTGGGGCATGCCCCCACAAGACACTTATCAGTCGCAGTGGCTTGTGCGAGATTTAAAGGTAACTTTTAGGAAGTTTGAAGTTTTGAATTGAAAAATGCTGAGTACCGTTGGACTGGTAGAATAATCAGTTATCGAAGAAAAAAAAGTATTTCTTCTCAAAAATAAAACTCGAAAGTCTTTATAAGTCGAAGTAACATTCACAAAATCTACATATATCTAAGGGAAAATCGGAGCGTGCATTTAAAGCATACACGTCATTATTTATGCGCCACTTGTGTGAGCCTGGAGCAGATTCGCAGGAATCATTTAATGATGGTGTACCTCGTGAAGGTTTAAATCGGCAGCATGTTCTTACCCGGATTGGAATTATGTCATTGATCCGAAAGAAAGTACAAGTAGGTTTCATGCATTTTATAGCACTTCATAAGTTGGTTATACTTAACAATAATAAAATTTTAACAATAATAAATAAGTTTTGTTTAGAAGGCTCATCGTTGATGTCGGCCGTCACTTGGTGAAGAAGATATAATATGAGATGTTAAGCTTCATTTCACTTTTCATTCAGTGTTCTGGTGAAGTTTTTTTTCCAGAACTACAATACAATAGGTGGTCTCTAAAAAATATAACAAGTGAAAGTTTGAAACTTTCATCAGCAGCAGTAGCGGTGGAAAAAAAGTTGCTTTTATCTTCATTTTTATTTAAATTTTCATTTAGGAATTTGAAGTAAGTAATGGCGAATGGTCAATGCCGGAAACACGGGGAAGAGCATTGCAAACTGTTGAAAGCGAAAAAGAAGGTTCAAATAGTAAAGCTGGCTCAAAAACGTCAAGTAGAAGTAACACACCTGCCCTGAAAGAAAGTGCTGCATCAGGGGAAAACGTCGAGAAAGTATTGTGTTTATATCTGAGTTTTCCTGAGTTACATTAGTTTTTTGTAGTGCCGGTGATGATTTTTTTTTTTTGAAAACACGATGGAATTATTAAGTAAAAAATCCGAAAAAATAAGCAAAGTTGGCTACGCAATTTGATTTTCAAGTAATACAATCAAAAATGGTCTCTTTGCTAAATAAATACGCTACTTATGGCATACTGTTGTGAGGGAAGGCAGTATGAAAAGGCGTAGTGGAACAAGTTTTTAAGCATGATTGATTTAAAGGCGAATCTGAGGCATCTTTTATTTTGAGAAATAATTCAGACGAAACATTTATTATTCTTTTGAAATAAAGTATTTCCAGGCTGACATGAAGAATGACAGAGAAGCTGGAATAATCAGGAAAGAAGGCGAGGAAGAAACTCCGAAAGTGAGAGGTCCTCGACCACCGTTCAAATTCAACATTGCCGATGGTGGCTTTACTGAATTACATACATTATGGTTGAATGAGGAAAAGGCGGCTGTACCTGGAAATGAATTTGAAATTTGGCATCGTCGGCATGATTATTGGCTCTTGGCGGGAATTATTACGTATGTTTTCCTTTAAGACTTTTTTTTGCAACTTCCTGTACATAAAAGAATTTTTATGCAACTCATATGATCCTGAAATGTCGAGGTGAAAAATCTACAGCAAAGTAATAAGCCGACGATTATTCGAGGCGCCACATTCATGTAGTCGAAGAATTATACATAAGGAGGTGAATCGGATTAAAAATTTGAAATTTCAGATATGGTTATGGGCGATATCAAGATTTACAGAATGACGTACGTTTCTCAATTATCAATGAACCATTTCGCACCGAACAAGGAAAGGGAAATTTCTTAGAAATAAAGAATAAATTTTTGCAGAGACGTTATAAGGTAAGAAGTTGGAATTCGTTCATTGAGTTTTATGCAGATTTTCTTGAATTCAACCATTAGAAGTTTTGTAAAAATATAGCATGCTAAGCAATATCAGTTGACGTTTATTTTTAGCTCTTGGAACAGGCTCTGGTTATCGAAGAGCAGTTACGACGAGCAGCATATTTGAATTTAACACAGTCTAATACAGATGGTACACAGCAGCTAAATGAGCGCTTTGCGGATATTGAATGCTTAGCAGAAAGCCATCAACACTTGGCTAGGGAAGGTATGCAAGGCAACAAAAACGCAAGCGCGGTATTGCACAAGATAAGTCCTTATTTATACATCATATCAGTTAGCTACCTTTCCTTGAAGAATGTTATGTCTTATGCTGAGTTGAGTTCATTATACTACGGTGTATTACATTCAAGGACTATTAGATTCGTTTCAGCAAAGGATTCATATTGCATGTTAAATAATGCTGGTACAAATCATGATCTGAATGACTTCTATAGCTGAAAATTGAAATATCTAATTTGCTTTACAGAAAGTGGTGTATGGCATTATTTTTAGGTACTGAATCAGTTGGAGGAACTGCTGTCGGATATGAAGGCAGATGTGTCAAGGTTGCCAGCAACATTAGCACGATTGCGTCCAGTAACCGAACGTTTAGGGATGACGGAAAGAGCGTGTGTTTTTTGATTATTTTTCTCCTGCGTTATTTTCTGCTCCTGTGAAAGAAAATCTTACTAATTATACTATACGCGAAAGAAATATAGATAATAATTTTCTTTTGTAGGATATTGAGCCGGTTAACTACTCGTGATCCAGAGGCAGCGTCAGGAAAAAGTCCATTACCTCCACCTGGCCCCTTCGTTACTCCTACTCTTGGACAGCAGCTATCCGGAATACAACCAAAGTTTGCTGCTTTGTCAAGAAATTCGTTGTCCGAAACAGCTATACATGAAAAAGATGTGAAAAAAGAACAGGAGGAGAAAGATAAAGATGAGAAAAAGAAAGCTAAAGAAGAGGAAACCGACTATAGTAAAGAGGAAAAAGGTTCTTTTTCAATTTTATTGTAATCTTTATTAAACATGATTTCAAAGGAGTGAAATGTTAGTAGAATTTTAAAAGTATTTTAATTTGAAATCGTGGTAAGAAGTCTGTTTTTGTTATTTAATTTCGTGGATTGCGTGAAATGGCAATAAGCTGTAGTATCAAAGCTTTTTGTGGCATTTTTATCAACTTGCAAATAATTTCTTCCAGAAGAAAGCAAAAATGGTAGAGTCACCGAAAATGAAGAAATTAAAGAATATGTGAAAGAAACTACCGAAGATGAGCCAATGGACTGTACAATTTCCGGTAATACAACTGCTGTTGTTACGTCTGAAAAGACTGAAAAAGCAGATGAATCTGTGGTGGAATCCGAAATTGAAGCCAAGACAGCTACCGATGCGCCGATGGATAGTATATAAATGTGTATTCATTGTTAGAATACGAATACTTTTTCATGTATGGTTTGGGATTTGTGGACCACTGTAAAAACAGCTTCAAAATGTTTGTACAGCTGTGATAGCCTAGAATAGAAAGGCTTAATATATTTATATTCGGCGTGTAACTATATCTCAGTAACATCAAAAATACTGATGCCTAACCGACTTTGATATTCTTACTGGATCGTGTGCACTCGTTTGATGGGTTTGATCTCATTGAATTATATTGCATGTTGTTAATATCTTTTTGTATGGCTAAGCACAAGCTGTTGAACGTTCGTTTTTAGTGTTTGTTAATTTCATGTTCGTTTTTGCTTATATTGTTTTTCCTTATTTATATAGTTGATTTTCATTTGATCATAATAAAATATCCCATGAACACAGTGTTCTAATATTTATGGTTGTAACATTCAGACATACTTGCTTCAAGTGGTATTTTGTATTTCGGGCCTCGTTTTCATGATTTACTGATTGGTGATTTTAGATGTGCAAAGATCATATTGAAGGTGTCTGAAATATTTGTTCGTTTGCATCCTGAGACGAATAATATTGTATGATCCGATTTTTGAATGGTTTTAACAAAAAACTGAAGCAAAATTACAACTTTTCACTTGAGGTTGAGGCTTCATCTATGGCAGTAATGCTTTCGGAGATCGAGAGGACTTCTTTATCTGGCTAATTTGTTTGCGAGAGAGTGTGATATGATGGACGATATACGTTGGAAAAGTTTAGTAGTGGTGAAAGGTAATATTTCGCAAACAATATGAAGGGTTATTTTGTACATCTCTGATAGGAAGGCATGTTGTGAATATACGGGTTTTGCTTTGGTTGTTATGTTAGACCTGACCTGTCTTAACTATGGAAATACTTCGAGATGTTCCTCATCTTTTGTGGAAGAACATAGTGATCCTGTACTTTACCAAGCTGCTGTTTTTTGTGGATTAGAAATTAAATCATGGACTGGAATATCTTCTCCATCCAATGTTTCACTTTATAGTTTAACTGCTCCTTATTTAAAGTAATAAAACAAAGCCGAACAGACAAAGATTTCGCTACCTATTTTGTAATATTTTAGAAACCCAGTATCAAAGTGTATGAGGTACCGTGAAATCTCAACTTCATACAAGAATAGAGTAATGTGATAAAATTAAAATAGAAGAAAGAAGCTCTTTAGTATATATTAATGAATATAAATATAATTTTATATATTAATGAATATAAATATAATTTTATATATTAATGAACTTGATAGTTGCAGATACTTTGCAATGCAGTGCAGAAAAGATTTGGGCCAGTTTAATGCATGATGCCATCGAGCGCAACAAAGGACGAATTCTGGTGTATCTGTTTACAGCATGTAAAAATACGCTGACTAAGCGATATCCTTTTATGCTACGATGTACGCTAATAGAGGAAATCGATTCATTTGCCAATATTTTTTGTAAAATCATCGCATTGTTAAAAAATGCTGAAGGGACAATAGTGTTTTTCGATTCGGTTGACATTATTTCCTTGGACAGTTCTTTTGACCGAGTGATTGTATTGCTAAAAGGGATTTCGCGTAAGTTGTTATCTGAAACATATGAACGCGTATAGAGGAGTGTTGAGAAAGAATACGACTTCTAAAAATATTTTGCACTTGCCTAAATCCAGTTTATAAGACTCACATTGTTTCTTATTTACATAGATGTTTATGTGAATTTTGTATAGGTAATGTGAATTTCAAAGAATTTCCTATATTTTCATTTGCGTATTTTCAATTTTCAGAATATGCGACTGTCATTGCACGAATGCACGATGAGTGTATTTCTGCTCAAAACTGGGAGAGATTGAGTTCGATTGCTCATACAACATATGCTCTGGAACTCAGAGATTTAATTACACCTCTTTGTACCATTGTTTCATATAAAACTGATGGGAAAAGAATTGTGAAGGTTAATTGTTTATCCAATTAAAGTTATTTGAGTTGCATAAAACAGGAATCACTGCATACTTTAATAATTCTTTAATTGGTTCATGATAAATAAAAAATGTAGTTTTCTTGGATCACATAATATTGTTTCCACCAAATGAAATTTGTTTTCCGCATCACTTGTAATTACTTCCTTGATGACTATATCCTCCATAATCATAAGTTATTTTGCAGGTGGGAACAGTATATATCGACAACACATTCCACTTATTTTTCAAACAATACAAAGCACAAGATACGAATAGGCCTGCTAAACGAGATGGTAACTTACCGGTGCCCAAAAGTTCCTTCAATGTCGGCCTTCACTTGAAAAAGTCGGAGCTTGAAGCCAGAGACCATGTATTTTTACCTTACGAGGCTGCTCAGAAAGAAGAAGGTATAAAATCTGATTATTTTCCTGTTCGAAGTTAGTGTTAACTTCAACTGTATATCTTGTGCGTCATTAAAAAATTGGTATTGAGATATTTACTTTCTAGATTCCTTCCTGGTATTTTAGAATTAGTGAGGTTACGTGTGAGGGAAAATCGGAAGATTCGAGCTGGTGGCCGCATTATTTACACTCCAGATGAAGCAGATGATTTCGATGAAAGTGACCCAGATGATGACCTTGAAATTTAATTTCTTCGTTGAGTTACATATGGCTAAGCTTCAGCTGTTCTATATTTCACTTTTTTCTCTTTTTTTGTAATCGAAATACGTCTCATTCTAAAGTGCATTTTTGACTGTCTGATTTGTAGCCTTCATGTTCTTTCTGATCGTTTTTTTTTTTTTTTTTTAATGTGCATGATTCTGATCTGAAATTTACAAGTATTTATCTTCTTAGAAAGGGATTAAGCTAGTGAAATGGAGCTATAAGCATTTTTCTTCCATTACTTTCAATCTACTCTTTACGTATTCTCTCTTTGTCCCAATTGTTACCTTTTTCTCTGCAGCGAGAGAGCCTTAAAGAAAATCGTTAGCAATTAGCTTTTAAGAAAAAGCATTTTCAAAATGTGTAGTTGGCATATGTCGAACTGTCGTAATTACTATTTTGCAGCACACAAAGCGGGCTACAATTTTAACAAAAAAATTTTCTCATTTCTTTTTATGCTTATGAAGCCATATGTTTTTCGGTTAGTTGATTGCATTTCATGACCCCATCATTTTCTATACATATGTTTCTTTTTTTCACATTACTTCTTTGAATTTTTATTAAAAAGAATAAGATAAAAACTATAATAGTGAACTTTCCTTTTGCGAAAAAAATAATAAAAATATAGTACAGAGGGCACTGGATGACGAATGAGTACAAATAAAGCCGCCAAAACAATTTCAGCAATTTGTCAATCAGATTAATTCGACTTCATTTGATCCAACAGTTTGCTTTACTATGTTTGTTTTCTTTCCTGATGGAATTTACTTGTGATTTGTTGTGTTATTACTATGATATTAATAAATCACTTATATAATGTTCTTTTTTACATCAGTTTCCTTAATCGATTTTTGAATTCACAACCAAATTATTTTCCGATCAATACAGAAACCGAAGATGATGTTATTTACGAATAGCAGAATTCACAATTCTCATAAGAGGGACAAACTGTCAGGTTTTTCTCAACGCCTTCGAATTTAAATAGTTTCAACTGTGCGTAAGATCTAAATTCATACAGTCCTGAAATCTGGAATTCCTGCTGGACGTGTGGATTCTTTGACACTGTTATGTCTGACGTTGTATCATGTAATTCTGAAAGATACGAACAGTCCCGATCTTCCTTTACAGCCATATCCCTTCTCACTAATGAATAGTTGCTATAAATCTTGGGTGTGAAACTTGATTGACCTTTTCAGCCGTACATTTATGCCAGCATTAAATAAACTTATAGTAAATCACTTCATAAATCGCTTGAAAATTCTTTCTTGGGTTATGAAATGAATTGATAATACTGCTTACCCTTCTTTCAAGGAAGTTAATGCTTGCAGCAATGATTTTTGCGTGTTTGTTTTCCGATAATTTCTTAGCCTCGTTACTCAACACCTATAGATTCTAAAAATCCGCAATATTTCAGTATCATTTAAGTCAAATTTTAGATTATACATCTGGAAAAGGAATACTTTTGAGTAATGTCCATCGTGGTGGAAACGCTGCCAAAACTTGATTTCACGGAAGCATTGAAAGATTCTCCGAGGTTCAGGTCAATTTTCTGTAGTTCGTATGAATTTCATTTTTCAAGGTTTTTCAAGGTTGCTGACATAATCCATTTTGATGTATGTTATGAGAGTGTAAAATAAACAGCTCATTGTCCTTTGAATGCTTTTTTTTATATCGATGATGGCTAAAAGTTGGAATTCGGTCAATTTGTTTCAGACAGGCAATTTTGGTGCATGAGCAGTACTTCGCCAAGTTAGATTCAAAGCTTACTGAGGTAGCTTTATCGTTTCATGGGTACTTAGTGGCATCAAATTTTAAGCGCTAAAACGGTCCTGATAATCGGTAAAAATTGTCAGTTTTAGAGGTGGGAATAAAACTGATTGCTTTGAATATTTAATTCCTTTTGTGCATCATAAAAATGATGGTAGAGTGATTTCATTCTTGTCATTTATTAATATTGTTCTGTAGTTAATGAGGAAACCACACTTTTATTATTTATTGTATTATTTTGTAGTGATACTATTGCAGATGTTGCAATTACTTAACTCCTTGGCAGATCATGGGAAGAATTATGTAAATGATTTTTAGTAAGTTTTTCTTGTAAAAATTTCTTGTCAAAACTCTTTTAGTTGGTTTAAGATTTGTCAAGTAGTTTCGAGATTTCAAGAAAATTATGACGTAAAAGTTCCCAATTTCTATCATAACACATGAAGTTTAGATGATTTTTTCGTTCGAAATTGGTATTTTAATTCTGGATGATCAAAAATGTAAAGCTTTGGTGGCAAGATTTCAGCACTTTATCAGCTGTTATCAATCAGTTATGCTACGACTTATTGCCTCAGGATCCATCGCTTTTATTGGCACTCAAATCATTATCGGATGTTTTCGCTCAGGTTGCACATATCTACAAGTCATTTGTGGAACAGTCCCATCTTACTATTGCTGAAAGTCTCATTTCTTTCCTTAAAAAGTAATTTTTTTAATGGTGGGAATATCTTAGTCGCAGAGCACTTCTTAGAGATTTTAGATATAAATTGAAGCAGCATTATGTTTTTAAATCATTGCTGTTTGTTATAATACTGGAAACTTCAGCTGTATTTTTTTTCGTTGAAATTTATTATCTGTTAAGAGGTCAGTGATTGAATGTTTTCTTCAGTAAACGAAGTGTGTTTGCTTCATTCATTAAACTATATTCTGTAAAATCATTCATTAGCACAGCGACATTTCAGTGAACGGTCGAAAGTAACAGAAACGCGTTGCCATTTTGAAAGTTTATCAAATTCACTAGATGAAGCACTTGCAAAGCGTGCTGCGGTGCATCGTGCACGACCAGTGGAGATTGCAGATGCGCGAAATGCTCTTACTGCTGTTGGTACATGTTTTGCACACACTGCGCTCGATTATGTGGCTCAGATAAATATCGCCCATGCACATAAAGATCATATTGTTTTAGACGCTGTAAGTTACTTTTATCTTCACAAATCAAAAAATTTCCATTCTTTTCCGTGCTGCACATATAAACTGTGAATGTTTATGAAATAGGATCTGAAATAAAACTGTATACATTTGTTATTCATGTGAACTATCATTATAGTACGTTCATTCAGTTCACTCCAGTGTATATATTTGAATGTTGCCGTATGTCATGCACATGATTGTTTGAATATGTGAACAAAATCTGATTAACCTCTTTATTCTATTGATTAGTTGGATTCTAATGATTTAATTAGTTGTCCTAACATTAATATATTGCTGCTATGTGTCTTTTAGTTGTGGTCTTTTGTGAAAGAATGCAGTACATTCTTTGTACGTGGGCACGTGTTTTTTGATGAGTGGACAGCGGTTGAAAGTGGTGCAATAGCTGATACCTCATCATTACTGGCGAATAAAAGTAAATCTGTAAAAAGGAAGATGCAAGATCGTCATGCCTTAGTACCTAAGGTAAACCGCTGGTTTCGAAGTGAAAATTCCATTTTTGAATCATTTATAAAATCGAAGTTGCTTTAAAACTAGCATTTTAAGTCAATTTTTGCTTCTGTATTATACCTTTTATTATATTATTATATTATTGTGTTATATATGCTGTACAACTGAACAATTTTTTAGGAAGTATTTCTTCATCCAACTGGTATTTCTCCAGAAGATGATGTTGTGATGGAAGGTTATCTTTTCAAACGAGCTACCAATGCTTTCAAGACATGGCACCGACGTTGGTTTCAAATTAAGGATAATAAATTGGTGAAATTTCTTTAGAAATGACTAATTTTTTTCTAGAAGTTCAAGTGATATATCGTAACAAACTGAGTTAGTTTTCAGTTAGTTTCAAAGAGACTTTCTTAAACATTCTTTTCAAGATATATTCTCATCGATCCGATGCGATGGAGATGCCAACGATTATGGAGTCGGATTTGAAGTTGTGTCTTGTCAGGCCAGCGCCTACAACATTTGAAAGGACGTGCTGTTTTGAATTGGTCACGCCAACAAAGTATTGAATTTTTTCTACCTTGGTCCAAATATCTGAAAGATTAACGATTTTGACAGTGATTCAAAAAAGGCAAGTTCGACCTTTACCATATTTTTAGGAATCATTTGTTGCAAGCCGACTCGGACACATTGTGTAATGCATGGATGCGAGCTCTTCAACGAACGATTCATTATCTACATGAAAATGATGATACGGTACTCCACCTAACAACTGTAAAGCAAATTAGCGATGGAACTTCCGAATCTGCGTCAACTCTGCACCACGAAACATTATTGGCTGAACTGAGACGAATTCCGGGCAATGATGTTTGTGCTGACTGTTGTGTTGAATCTCCAAAATGGGCTAGTATCAATCTTGGTGTAAGTTTACTGGTATTAAAACTAATTTACCATTCCTCGTTAAAATTATTTCATATATTTCACACATAATGCTATTTTTAAATTTTTAAGAATTTTAATATGTAGTTTATATTACGTAGTGTCGTTTTGTTGAGGTAGATAATAAAAGCAGCCGTTTGATTCTAGAATTCAGCTTCACCTTAATTCGTTCGCTATGCTTAAGGATCAAAACATTTATAAATGTATATGAAGCAGGTTAAGATAGTGTTTATAATACAATTTCATATTGCATACCATTGTAATACGCTGAACAACTGTTTCCTTTTTTTAAATTTGGCAAATTGAAAACTCCTTAACATAACTTTGTTTGCAATTTAAATAATGAATAACTTTGCTTGTTTGATTTAGGTTTTATTATGTATTGAATGCTGTGGTATACACCGAAGCTTTGGTGTGCAAGTTTCGAAAGTTCGTTCTTTGATAATGGATACGTTGGAACCGGAACAGAAAAAGGTATTGTTAGCGTTGGGAAATCGCGCGGTAAACGCGATTTATCTTGCTCATATTCCTTCAGTGAAAGTAATCCCGCCGCGTCCTGTTGCTACTTCTGCAAGGTATTTCACATTTTAATTTATAATAAAGCATTTTCTTATAGCATAAATTTAAACCAATATGGTGTTTCTAAACAGTTATACTGTTGCTGTTTTAAACTGCTTTATCTTAAAGTATTAAGCATTATTGCGATGTATGTTCCAGAGTGGAAGTTTCTTCATACTTATGCTGCTACGAGATAAATAACAAAGTGTTAGAAGCAGAACCTATGCATGTTAAATAATTTCAGACCAGTGCGGGAGGCATGGATCAGAGCTAAATACATTGAAAGACGATTTGTAAGAAAATGCAGCGAAAGAGCAAGGGAATCTGCTATCAAACGTTCAAAAGGTTTCCATCGTAAAATTGGGGTTTATAATTTTTTACGGTCGTGGTCTACAGAAAAATTGAGAATTGAATTTTTATTGGCGAGAAATAAAATTTACTTAACACAGAATTGAGAGGACCTTTTTACTTTAGCAATACATCGATCGTCTTCAAATCGAGTTTCTTCAGTCCGTCATTGTTTATCAGAACCATCACCATATTTTGATAATGAACAAGAACAGTTAACTGGGTATTTTTCTGATACAGGATCGAAGCCCATTGAAATCCCAACCAAAGGTTCTTCCAGCGCTTTCTTTTCGATATTAGTTATAAAATGGCTTAAGATGAAATTTCAAAAAAAAACATTATTTTATTTTTTAGTATATTTTTATCAACGCTAAAAAATCTTACTATAGAAGGATGGCCTCATGAATCATTACATAATGCTTTCCGTGCCAGTATTATTTTAGCTATAATTTTTTATAGAAATTGTCTTATTTAAAAGATTTAAATTTCAGAAAGCAGAATATTTAGTACTTTTCTTTCAGATGGCAGAAGAAAGATTTCTGCATACGGATCTGATTCAAATTTGAATATAGCGTATGATAAATGTAAGTTTCTTTTACTTTACAGTGTTATTATTTGTATGGATAACGATTTTGATTTTTCATCTTTTGTAGTAAGTGACGCTAATCATAATAACCGAGCTGTGCTTGCTGCAACAACGGGCGATACTTTAGAATTGTGTCGACTTATTGCAGAAGGTTTCGATGTTAATACTTCTCTGAATGACACAACAGCATTGCACATTGCCATAGAACATGTAAGTTGAAATACTGTAGACTTCATGCTTGTTTCAGATTATCAACGGACATGTATTTCTTATCCTGTCTTAATGTTTTTTCAGGTCTGATGTTCTTGTTACTCTTTGCTCCCTTGCAATTTTCTGAACAGATCCTTTGAGGAATATAGCAATAAATGAATAAACGTATTAATAATGTATTGCTATATTGTTTCATTAAATATCTTTGTATGTCATCTTTTCTAGAAATTTCGAAATTTGCTTTGAATTTAGGATCAAAGTATAGCGGTGGAATTTCTCCTACTAAATGGTGTGAAAGTGAATGCTCTGGATTCATCTCTTAACACTGCGCTTCATATAGCAGCATCGAAGGCATGCACACTGTGAGATGTTCTTTCTCAATATTATATAAAAATTCTTCAAATACATTAAACATTTAACTGCTAAACTAGTAAGAAGCTTTGATCTGTAGAATCGTTTGTCAATTAATGAAACGTGGGGCCGATCAGCGCTTGAGAAATCGATTGAATGAAACACCTTTGGATTTAGCAATTGAAGGCAAACATGCGGATATTGTGACACTGTAAGCACTTAACGTTATTTACTTATCGGTACTTACCGTCAATGGTTAACTTGCAGTGATGAGAATACAATGAATTTGTTCATTCCCTTTAAGTCTTTAAAACTGTTGCTAGTCAAACCACTAATATGGCATTAATTGTCATTTATTGGATTCGAAACCCTCGAAACTTCGCGACATCTTAAGAAGATGAATTCAATCATCTACTGACCTTTTTTACTTATTGTAATTTTAGCAGTGAAGTTGTAGTCAGATGTTGCTTTATTATTGTTATTACAATAGACTGCGAGTGCAAGAAATGCGCGATGAATTTTGCGATGAATTCAATAATCCAATGGACGAAACTGTAGATGACGTGATGCAAGATATCAGTCGCAAAGTTGATCCTTCGCTTCGATAAATTTCCGCTTGGTTTGAACTGCATTACTTCTACAACAGTTTTTTTTTTTTTTAACTTCCTAAGATTTAAAAATGGCCATTTACCCATTTCACCTTCTTCTGTTTTTCGAAATTTCAAAAAAAATTCTCTTAACTTGTTGCATGGATTGCTAGGAATTGTTTACTGATAGAATACTAGAATATTTAATATAATGATATGATTAAAAAAGTTTGTAATTGTTAAGTTATACCACGCATCCTTGTGATAATCTGGGGAGAGCTTCTTCGTTTTTAATTCTGATGTATTATTTGCTAATCATTATTTCTCTCACTTTCAGTGCCAAGAAATATAGAAAATCACGGTAATGGAAAATGAAATAAACCCCTCCAACATTCAAAAGCACATGAAATTAATTTGCTGTTCATATATTTATATGAGAATAATTGCAGTACATTTATCCCATTCTTTCCTTTTTGTTATCTATTTATTTTTTGATTATTTTCTTTTCTCGTAATACCAGAGTATGAAAATTTCTTAGGGGTACCCAAGTGATGAGACATTTATATTCTATACAGTTCATGTCATTCTTCATATTATTACTTTCACTTTTACTTTGTTAATTCTTCAATTATATCTATTTTGTTTTGTTGTATGCTATTATAGTAAATGTGCTTTGATGTAATTTTTCAGCAAATGATGAATCCGGAAATGCAAAACATGCCATTAAAGGTTTTTCAGAGGTTTATATTTCACATAACAATAACTAAGTTCTTTTATATCATCTGTTTCGCATAAAGTAATCGAAACTCGGAACTGTTTAGATGATTGCAAGTCCTTCATTACTGTGATAAAAAGCGTGCAAATTTCACTTCACTTCGATAAGACCTAGGTACGAAATATGGCCATTAGGAAAAGTAGGCCATTAAGAAGATTGACAACAATATAAGAAACATCAGGATATCTCTGGTAGTTTTATAAATATATTCTACTGGCGATCGAATGCTATATGGATCTTAAAAAAATCACAAATCACTCAACTGTACACAATAAAAATATTTGAAATAAACGAAGTAGAGTAAAGTACTTGTAGGTCTAATATGGGAGGAAAGTAGCTAATGACGATAACTTATATCGGAAGTTTTCTCAATTGGCTATGGGCTATATTCGGGTATTGGTGACACCGATCGTAGTAATCCCAGTTGACGGACTATGTTATACTGGTCCGGTATTTCCAACAGCGATTGTACTGCGAATGAAAGTTCACCCGAATCGATACTATCAGCTTTTTGCATCACTTCATGAAATTCAACAAAGTGAAAGTTATCCCAAGGCCTTCTGGGTAAAGATTCATCAAATACCTGAAATTAGCACTCGCAGTTTGCAAATTTATTGAGCATATGCGGACTTCAATAAAACTTAGAAATTAAAAAATAAAATAAATTTTCGGCACAGTGATTACACGAACCTTCATCATATCCCAAGGTCCATCACCAACACCAACAACGATAATTGACAGTGGGTATTGACATGCTCGTACAATTGCTTTCCGAGTCGCCTTTTCGTTCGTCACTTGTCCATCTGCTACTATCACTAATATATGATACTGCAAACAGACTTTTAAATAGAATGCTTCCCTGTTTCAATATCTAGTATAAACAATTATTAAGTGATTAAAGATTATTTCTACCCAATCATTAAAACCGCTGAAATTAACATGATAGAATAACATACTTAATGCAAACGTGTTTTAGTTAATAATTGGTTAAATTTGATGCAGAATTTTATATTCATTTAATATAGATGATTTCAGAATTGAGATGACTTCTAAGAAATTGAATTTAAAAATTGACTTCTTCCCAAAACTGACTTTCCTGTTCTACAAAAAAAGTGCAACAATCAAGGAGACGAACATTTTGGACTTTTTCGCATATCTCTATGGCTTCATAAATCAGCGGAGCGAAATTTGTTGGACCACTTAAACTTATTGTTGGAGTGACTGTATCATATACCCTTCAAAGATGGTTAGTTATTAAATTGCAGAATGGTTTTAAGAAAAAAGTGCTCCAACACTTTTGGGAATTCTAGTAACTAATCATACCAGAATCCCTCTTTTAATGATTTGAATATTTTTGGAAATATAAGACACAAAACTGCATCGAATCTCTCACAAAGATTGGGCGTTTAGGGCGGATGTTTCTGATTCTGACTCAAGATGTCCTAAAATTTCAAGGTAGAGAAATATTCGAAATGTCAAATTACTGCAGCAATTCATCGAGGTCTTTGCATTCGCCTTCAGGTTTCAGCTTGAACACCGACCAATCACTAGTTTTCACATCTCCAAAACCATAAGCTGGTATAAAACCAGATGTGGCAAACGGTGCTAGTATCCGTCCCATGATTTTAATTACCTAAACATTCTAGGTTTTACTATTTGTACATATTAGAAGCCTATCAAGTAATCAAATAGGCTAATCAAGTATTAGCAATTTTCCGTAACTGATGTGAAGATTAATAATGTAGTGAAGACTATTTCTATCATACATTTTTCTATCATATGCAATTTGTATATTTACGTACCTGTTGATAAGGATTTTCTTTAAAAGCATCTATGGAATGCAAAGATCGGCCTTGAAAGCACCGTTCACCTTGGTACTTATTGCTAGCCGTATAGTCAATACCTGAACTTGGTGATGACGTCATTATTCCTTATTTAACACTAAGACTAGTTAAAGGGAAGTTTAAATTAAAACTTACTGGAAAAATTAAAAACTTACTGTAAACTTTCTAAATATTGAAAGATTTTATTTAGTAGAAGAGCAGAATTTTCATTTAGAAATTAAAAAAATTTTACCAAAAATCAAATTTGTGGATTGTAGACCAGCTTTACGCATAGCATTTGACAGGTCTTCAAGTGATGTTAGAGCTAGCAGCATTTCTTGCATACTTGTTACACCCAGTACACTTAACAATGAACTTCTTTTCCTCATCTGAAATGCTTTCGGAAATTTCAATATTCGGATTCGGAAAGGATTGCCCAACTAATATTCAAATAGTCTACCTCATTATTCCCTCAATTTTGTGTGTCTAGTCTTCATGGTCACAATGATCAAATTCCAATTACATCAGGTATCAAAATCAGTACGATTTTATTTATAACAAAAAGCGGATCTTTTGTGAATTCTTCATTTAATTACTGTATATTCTTATATGGCTAATACCCGTGGTGGTTGACTTCCGCTTGATGTAAAACTCCTTGAGCTTCTTAGTAAAGATGCTGATTGCGATGTTTCTACCGGTTTTGTGAGTGGTACATTTCCAGCAGCTCTCGTTGGTTGTGGTATTGAGAACTGCAAATAAAAATGTATTACAAGTAAAATCCATTTTTCATTGATAATGTATGTAGTTTTTTTTTTTTTTTTTTTGAAGGAATTTTTAACTTGCAACAATTTATGCTCTCTCTTAAAAACGAGAATAAATCTTTGAAGTCAAAAGGTAAAACAAAAACAAAAAAAAACATCAGTGCATTCTGCAGCAACTTGATCGAAATAATCCAATAAATTTTCACTATTAACACTTGCTTCATCGGGTGGGATTTCAATGGACTGTATCTCGGGAGCATATGTCATCGCATCATCAATTTCTACCGGTTCTTCTACCTTTTCAAATATCTTAAACCGTGCTTTAAAATCAAATTGAAATTGATTGAAATTAAGATCTAGTTTATAAAGAGGATTTAACAAACAAATAATTCTTACAAAACAATAAGGAATAAATAAAAGAACTGCTTATTACAATGTCGTTAACATTTATTGGATGAACTGATTATTTAAAATAAGCAGCGAAATATTAACTTCATTAGTCCTGAACATCTGACTCGTGGCTTCCGCAGAAGCAGGTAGCTGTTGTACAGTAGGAGCACCGATAACACTACCATTTCCACCAGTATTGTTTAACATTTCCTCTTCAACTATGAAGCCACTGGGTACTTCGGGACGAATCTCACTAGCTACATATTCGATGGCATCTTGTATGTACATTTCCGCCTCTACTAACCGTCTACACTCTTCTTCTGTAAGTGGTTGACGTTCTGTGATCGAAGTTGTGACGGGGGCCGGTAGCTTTCCATCTATGTTCATCTTGTTGCTATCGGTTGCTGCACATGTCCTTTCGGTTTCAACCAATTCTGTTGGTGTTGTTAGAATAAACTAGAAAATCTCCTTATCAGGTTTCCATGATAACTCCTGTGAAGTTTAAATTATCAATTTTACGATATATTGAATTTCTAAATTTGAGTAAAACAAAGGCCAAAAGTCATACGTGATATTCTAAACCTACTTGCTGTTGATTTTCTTGAGAGTTGTAATCTGCTGCAATCACTACAACAGATAACTGATCAGGTGATAACTCAGTTATCACTGCTTTTTGTTTTTGCTCTAGTGTTTTCTGAATAGCAGTATCAGGAAGAGCTAATTTTAATGTGCCACTTGTTTGTCTATTCGCTTCAGCGATCTGCTCTAGCAACATTCCACTATCATTTTTTTGTAGCTCATCCTTATAAACTTTGACGAAATCGTCATCGTTTTCGATCGATGTTGGAATATCCTGCACCAATACATTAGTCACTTCAGTATTGCTCGGTTTATAAATAAATTCTTGAACTCGTTCGACAAAAAATTCCTGAATATGGATACATATATCTTGATTGCTCTTTGTACTTTTCATACCTATATCAATTATTAACTTCATTTCACTTGAGATTTCATAAAAGTCAATTGAATTCCATAAAGCATGAAATGACATCTGTTAAAGCCATTTTATCAAATTTGAATATTAAAATAAGGTCGAAAAATGTTAATATTAGAGCTATGAATTGAAATTTATGGCAGATTTGCTACATTTATAATTAACTCAAACAATTAAAGCTTTTCTGAAAAAAATATTTTCAAATAAAACAATAAATATTTGCTGTAAAAATGCAACTTCAAAGTTCTAAAAAGCCTCAAACAAGGTTGCAATCACCTTGCATACATACTCAGAAAATGTCCAAGAGTTACCGATTGAGCGGGAGCCTCCCAACCATTTGTACTGCTACCACTCCTGCAAGTTTTCAGTTTAAAAAGCTTTTCAAGCTAAATATGGCAAAAACTGGTTTTAAAAAATTCAGAAAATTAACCCATTTCCTCGTTCGCTACCTGTCACAATAGTGTTTGCCGCATCCTGAAATCATGAATGTTATTCAAAGTGAATCGGTAAAACCAATAGATTAAGTGAAAAAGTGACTGAAATTTTCTTCAGTATGAAAAATGAACCTGTATATTGGCAACAACATCTTCTGTGTGCGGTGCCGAATGAACTGCGACTTCATTAGCAAATTTATTTGTTGCTATCGCTGAAGGCGTTTGGTCTAATGTCCTACAGAAATGTTATCTAATAAAATGCGAAATATTAATGAGCAAGATCTCTCTCTCCCTCTTTGGATCGAATAATTCCTTTCGCTTAATTTCCTTCTTTGCCAGATATTCTCTCATCTTTGATTAATAGTCAGATTCAAATTGTTAATGGAAAGGTAACTCTTTTTAATGTTAACTTTTTTTTTTGGAATTGCAAGCAAATCATCGTATACAGTACTTTGCTTTTTTTAATTTTCTACAACATCTTTTTCCGATATTAAAAATTAATTTCTTGTTTATGCAAAACACTAACCTTCGAAGCTGCTGAAACTGTTCCATTTCGGCGCTATTTGTTTCCATTGATATGCAGTCAGCGGGTAAGAAACGATCAATGAGTTGGGATTCTGTTTCAATTTCGGACATCGTACCCGATGCATCTATTACATGTTCAACAAGATCCTGTAACCGTAATTCCTCCATCCGTGCCACTTCACGTTGCCATTCTTTCAGTGCTTCCGTTTCCTCCCTAAAAAAAAATAATAAAGATTTTCAAAAATTGTTTGAAAAGGACCATTTCAGTAGTAACAATTCTTTTTAGCAGTATTCTCGCCCCAAATTTCTGATTTATGATTTTTTTTTTTTTTTTGCAAAACAAACTTGCTAAAATTTGCTTCGGCTTGCCTTAATTTTCCCATTTTTTCCTTCACGGTTTCCGGCTTATCCATTTCTTCATTAGCCATATTCTTCTGTAATATTAAAATTAGGAGTGCTAGAAAATGAAGTAAAATCAAGTGTCCGTTGGAAATGTAAAATTCGAAAAAATATTTGTAGCAAATTATTTAGTACCATTCTGCTAAATTACCTTTGGTGAAAGATTTTCCGCTTCATGGAATTTGTCAATCTGTTTTCGAGCTTCAAGAAACCAAAAAAAGAGAACTGTGAGGATAACAGAAGTAAGGGAAAGGAACATTCTGGTAGTAAAACCAAACAGCATGAATTGCTCCGAATCTGAACATTCCTCCCATTCGTCGGGATCATAACCTAATTCTTTCGAAAAAACCATTTCTTCTTGTTCTAACTATTACTCAATCGTTTCAAAAATGTGTTCCAGAAAATACTGCAAAAAGGGATGAGCCGTTACTTCATTTCTAAATTGAATCTCCGAACTAAAATATTGGAGAAAACAGTTTTTAAGCTAAAACTGAAATTATGAATAAATTTAACTTAAACTGTACTGATATTGAAAAAGATGGAAGAGTTAAAAATTGTTTAACATTACATTAGAGATAAACATGTTGATTTGCCATAGGCAGAGGATGACGAATGCAATTTAACTTCAACTTAAATTTTTAAACCATATCCGATCTCATTATCACTATTCAAGCAGATTTATGAAGGATGGGTTTAATGGAGAGCATGAATCAAATACAAATTGTATATTTTGTCCGCTGTCTCACGATAAAAATCTCACGATAAAAAATGTCATCTATATATTCGTGGTGTCGCTAAACACTTCTTCAGCGATAAGGAAAAATGGCAGCTGTGGAGGATCTAAGACAAAAATATGTATATATGAGTGTGCGTGTGTGTGTGTGTGTGTGTGTGTATGTGTGTGTATGTGTATGTGTGTATGTGTATGTATAAACTAAGGTTCTAGTTTCGAGATTCGTTGAACAATGTGAGAGGAAATCTGAAGAGCATGTCTGCTTCATCCTCACAACTCTAGCTAGTTTGAAGTTTGTCTTAAGATCACTTTCATCGCTGGAAGGTCTGTACCCACCACCTCAAGCACAGCTGCATACGAGAAAGAAAAATCATCTTAAGCGTTCATGTTTCTCTTCGAACACTCTCACTTCGAAGATTTCATTTCCTTTTCTTCCGACTCACTGCAACACCAGTTGTTCCCATGAGCAGCCATGTTGCAACATACGTATTCAAAGAGGAATTCACCCAAATTTCTATTTTTGATCCACAGATCGCCAGGTCTGATATTTTTGAATCCAATGAATGACAGAATTTCCGAGAAATAACCGGAAGCAAATAGACAAATAGCAACAACCAGGAAAAATGACCTCCTTTATGTGTGTCCCCCGACTTGTATCACTTCTTTTCATCTTTCAAAACTGATTGAAGCTAAAATGTGAAACGAAAAATGCGTAGCAAAACTTATTTATAAAACGGCGAAGTGTATGCAGCAATGATATTTACATTTACATTTAAGCTAAAAAAAATTTTTCACAAAAATAGTACCTTCATATAATTTACAAGCATCAATAAACACATCAGACTCAAAGCTCACTGAAAAAATTATAAAGAACAAAAAGAGGGTAAATGCGAAAAAAAAGGAACTTTCAAACAAAACTTCACCAAAGAGAAACTCCAAAGTAAAATCATCAGTTCGTATAACTACCTCATTTGAATTAACAAGAAAAAGGGGAAAATGGTAACAGAATTATTTTTCAGGAATGAAAATCAAACAAGAACATCAAAATCATAACTTTAAGCTCCAGATGTTAAGGAAATGTTGACAATGGACGATTGTTTGAGAAAGTGATGAGGATTAAAATTAACCTTATAAAACATAAATATTCAAACCAGTAATAAATTGGGACTAATCCGATGAACTGAAGAAGATCGTTAAAAGCAAACTATATGATCGGCCATTTATACCCGACAGATGAGTGGAAAGCATATAAAATAAAATGAAATCGAAAAAGTTCAAGATATGAATAGTGATGCAAATTTTTCCTCATAGACAGTTCCGTAAAACTGTTTCTTAAAAAGTTCCACTGACAGAAGATGTCAAACTGTTAATCTGAAGCTTTTGGGTTTTCCCAGTATCAGAAAACTTAAGCGAAATGAGGAGACAGTATTAAATATCGGTTAGTTAGGACCGGAAAACCGGACCACTAACAATCTAAATAAATGGATTAAACCGGAGAGCTTAGACGATTAATGTAACACGACCAATCTAACATTCCTGTGCTCAACTTTAGAGCTGCAATGTATTAAAACAAAAGTAAAGCAAGTACTTAGTACTCTTTTGTGAGAGAAAAGCATAGGAATGTTCTAGCTCATTCAGATGCAAAGACAATATAATGGAGAAAAAAAATGGAATAAGAAAACATTCTAGAAACTGGAAACTACCAGATAGCAATGTTGGAAAGTACTGCTTCCAATATTCTCCAAGAGTCATAATCCCAGCCAGATGACGCTCACCGGAGGTTGAACTTTGTTGGAAATTCTTTACAAATAGATAAAGATATTTACATATACAGAAATACACATAAAGACAAGATAGAAAAGTTCGTTAACTGAACATACAAAATTAATTTGCAGTAAACTGATAGCTATTCTTAATATCTTCAGTATTTTCCTCAGTATTTCAGCTCTCAATTATCTCACTGAATATGAAAGAAAAACAATCCAAACTTCTGGGATTTTTAAGGAACTAAAATACATTATATTATAAATGAAGATAAAAAAAGAATGAGTTACGCAGGTGGCAAACTGTGATGTATGCCAGACGCAGCCGAAGAACAAGTCAATGATTCTAAACCTATAAGTGTATGTGCAGTAAATGATGATAACATGGCTGAGTCAACGGGTTCCATACACGATGGACAGCTAAACGATCGCATCAACCAATCATCCACACAATTCTTATGATAGCAATGCATACAAGGCAAATAACGAATCGGATCACCATCAACGAAATCTATCATACAAATTGGACACCTAAAAGAGAGAACAAGAATTATATGACACTACAAAAAGTAAAATTCTTTCTCAAAACAGGTACTGTCATTAATGACTCATTTCAAATTCTAAAATAAGCGAGGGCGTTATATCAGGGAAAAAACAGAAAAAAAGAACTATAATCCTAACTTATTTTATAATAAAATTACCATTACTATAAGTAGAAAATTTAAAAAATTCTTGTAACATGAAGAAAGGTATGAAATGTGAAGTGATCTAATTTTAAGTCATCCTTCATTAAACAAAAATCGATTTTGTTGACAGTTAATCAGGAATGACACGACATAATTCTCTTATAAAACATTCTTCTATCCCACCTCAAGAAAAGAAAGAAAAAGTAAGCCAAAGCTCGATTCGCTTCAAACTTTAAAATAAGTGAAGACGTTATATCAGACATCAGTTATATCAAGACAGCTATTTCCATCTACAATTAACACACGTAAACTCAAAATGACATAACAAATACAAAAACAAAAAAAAAAAAAACACATGAAAAATGTGTTTACTCGATATCTCTCATTTTTGCTTCTTCTTTATATGTGTCAGCAGGAATCTGTTCTAGTAGTGTTGACACGTGAACTTTTTTAGGGTCTTCTATCAATAATTCTTGTCGCCTTCTTTCGCTGCTTGTTTCTGAGACCCACAGTTCATTTGTGTATGCACTGTGCAACTAAGAAAAAAAAAATAATGTAAAAGAAGACCAGATCCATAAAAATGATCAACTTCTATGGACAATAAAAAATTTTAAGCCTAAAACAACAAAAATTAAAAAAAGACATTAAAAAATTCGTTTCTAAGTTTTCCTTCCGATTAAAATCTTTCAGTAGATTACTACAAATTCTTAAACTGGAACCTATCTCCACACGTTTTAAATATGTACTACCGCAGTATAATGATGATATTTCGGGTGTGCTCAACTTTTGACTACACTAGCTTGAATAGAAGTAGTTAGAATAAGGTAGTAACTCAAAATTTATGGACCTATCTCTTCTCAAATTATGCTTCTCTTCATATGGGATAAGCGCTAATCAGTAGCAAGCAATACAATCTCAGAGAATAACCATCAAAAGTTAACTATCAAGCGTTATGGTTTAAAAAACCTCTGAATCGGGATATCTCATTATAGTATTACTGCCGCTAGCATTATCAATGACTTCTTCCAGTGCGGAGTGATCGTCGCTACGCAATAAGTTCGGGAACAGTAACGGCAAACAGTTCCCCATACTCGTTCCTTTTCCCATACATCGATTGGTACCACCAAACAGCAATATGGAGATTAATGAAAGGATCTGCCGGATTATCAAAAGTAGGAAGAGACAATCTGCAAAATAAAACGACAGTTAAAACTGGAATAACTGGAAATCTGAAAATTATATTCGACTGAGAAATTACAAAATAAAATGCATTAGAAATGAAAAAGTCTTTGCCATCAATAACTTCATAATGCGATGGAAACGCAGCACATGACGATATCTGTCTAATTTACTAAAGTATTCGCCTTCTGAGAAACGTAAAGGAAAACAAAGGCAAAATGGAGATGGGTATGAAGTAAAACTTGGAATTGTGATTATTAGAGACCAATAAATTATTTAAGTGTAATGTTTTAACATTCATATGGGAAATATTATTTATGCAAAGTTAAGAGAGCAGAAGTGCTAAATGGTAACACATTACGAAACATAAAGTGGATTATAGGATAATTGGTACCAGGAAATAAAGAGAACCACGTGACGTGGCGGTGTTGTACGAGATAAGGTAGATGATGACTGAGTACCGCTAATCCCGCACATCTATCATCCCAAATCGAGAAGTCACTTCACCACACTTTTACACACATCCTTCCACGCTGCTTGCCGCGCCGCGATCAGCAACGCGGCAATCGATTTACTGTTGTAACTATTATTGCGTCCAATGGACGACCCGGAATCCACTCTTTCACGGCAAGTGCATTTAATGTGTATGTGTATGTGTGGTGTACGTATATCATATCCATCTAGATGTAAAGTTTTGCTTCAAAACTGAAAAATTTCCAAAATTTAAACTATTTTCCAAGCAAAAAGTCTGTTACTCTTGTGTTTGATGTATTTTTGTTATTTGATGGGAACTGTTCCACGTGAACATCAAGTTTACGTATCCAGCACTTTTGGGAATTATTTGACATGATAATAGAGTTATTATAAGCAGCTAAAAATGATGATAGTACTGTTTGCTCTGAAATGACCATGATGTAAAGTAATGGATGAAAGTGATAGGATTGAAAAATAATCATTCAATAGTATTAGATGGGAACAATTAGTAAATGATGGGCAACAAAATTACTAGGATTGTCGTGTTTTTCTTTTTGTATTTTATTTTTTAAAGGAGCAATCTTGATTTGATCAGTTGTTGATGATTCCTGCATATCTTGTGTATCGACATTATCAGAAGAAAAAAGGAGTGATGACAATGGAAGCTTTGGACGATGTGACAGGCGTTCACTCTTCATTTATTGCACGTGTCAGTCACAGTTTCATGTTTTATATATGAAAAGATACTATTCTTTGCTAGATTACTGTTACAACAATGTCCGTTTTTTAGGCATTCATCTATAACTTCCCATTTTATACAAGATTGGCTGAGGACTAAATTTTACTGCTGCAGTTCACGAAATGTATTTTCATTTTGACTTGAAAATATCTAAACGATTTTGCAGTAGCTGATGCATACAGTTGAGACAACTGACGTAATTCTTCTAAAAGAAGTGGATAGTATGATGGCGGTGTGTGTTCTAGTTCATTCTTGGAGGGAAGTTTTTCATAAGCTCAGCCTTGCCTTAGTTTCCCTATTTGTTATGTAGTCATTCCCTAAAACTTTTTTTTGGTGAGGAGAGAAAAGGTGGTTTTGGCAAATCACTTTTTTTTGAAAATACGCTGAATGCTTTTAGGAGGCTTTTACGCTTCAGGGAGTTGCAGCAAAACGAGTTGTGGAAAGTGAAGAAACAGAAGACTGTTACATCAGTGGGAAATTATCGTTACTTGAAAAAGTTTGTGCAGTTTATCTCCTATTCATTTGGTTGTTATTTTCGAGAGTTAAATAGTTGTTTTTATCAATTTTTACCAATATGATAACATAAAAAAATTTTTTATTTTCAGCCATGTGGTGTGATGATTGAATGGGTTCCTATGGAAGAGGATGGTTGGGTCCTTGCAGCGGAGGATGACAGTGAAAATCTTTCAACATCATCAGATAGTGGTGAATCACGTCGAGATTATATAAATAAGCTAAAATTTTCAGTTGATATTAAAGATTTGCGGTCATTTCAATGTGTTGAACCCAAGAAAGGTATTTTTTCCAAAATGAATTCTGCTTGTTGAAATTGAAAATATCTAATTTTTTGGCTATCATTGATTGAAAAATCTTGGTTTATTTCGGATTTCTATAAATCATAGTATTTTTTAATTTCGACTTCTAACTAGCAGTAGAGCAGTTAATAGAATCTGTGTTACTTAGTAAGTCTATCTTGCTTTTGTGTGTATTATGACTCATTTTTGAAGGATATCCTTGGGTACGGTTTATCGGTAAGGATGGTTCGGGCTATACACCACTGTATTTTCGTCAAGGTGGTATATCTTCCTTTACTGATAACTTACAAAGGTAATATTTTCTTAATCATTTGTAACTTAAACATACACTTATTATTTTTGCAAGTTTTAGATATGCTACATTGAAACGTTCAGCTCGAGAAGCAAATTTGGTACTTTTTACGGATGAACGCCTTGAAGCTTTGGAACAATCTGTCTCCATTTTGGATTTGAACAGTGATTTCTTCTCGGTACTTTCATGTTTTACTTGGTTATCTTTATTATCTTTAGTTTTATGAAAGACATTTCCACATCTAATTTACTGTTATAGCGTATGATGGCACAACCGTACGCGACAGCAATGACAGGACTTGGGAAAGTTGCAACATTTGTCCAGGAGCAGGTACATTTAGAAATTATTTTCCACTTTGTTAAAATATTATATTAAACCATATATTAAAGAAAGTTTGCATCTTTCTTTGCTGCTATTATTGCCACTCTCACACTTCACTCTGATTTCCAGATTGGAACTGTGGACATAACAAAATGTAAAAGCACTTAAAAAAAGATATATAGTGACAAGCTTAAAATCTTTAAATCATCACTTTCATTTCATACTGTATTGTTTCTTTTGAAGGTTATTCCTTCTATATTGGAATCAGATGCGGTGAGTGCAGAAGAAAAAATCAGAGCAATGAGGGAGTTAAGAGAAAAAGAAGATGAAGCAGCAGGCATTCTAAGGTAATTCTTTCGACAAATTTTATTCGATTTTTTCATTTATTTTTACAGATCTCATTTCATATTCATTGATTTTATAGGTCGCATGATGATGCAGGTTTTGAACTTATAACACATTTGGAATTGCCAGAACGCCCAGAATTTACAAGGGAACAACCACTGACCGAAGCACTCTGGCAAAAGTATAAGTAAGCAGAACTCGTGTAATTTTGGCATGGTTTAGTCAGATTTGTAGTTCGTTTTCCAAAATTTGTTTATTTGTGGTTTTTTGACTTTTGTTGGAAATGAGAATATTTAGAATGCCTAATGGCTGTATCAGAGATGTTCATTCATTAAAAGTATTGATCTTTCGTGGTGGTTTGGATTCATCGTTAAGGAAAGAAGCGTGGAAGTATCTTCTCGGTGTATATGATTGGAAAAAATCCTCTGCACAGAATGAAACTGTAATTATTCGCATTTTCAATTTTATCTTATTTGTTTTGGGCTTCTTTTTTCATTTGTTTACTTTTTAGAATTTTCAGAGAAATCTTTTAAGTTATTTTCAACAAATTGCTCTCTAATTCTTTTCTGTTCATGAACAAAATTATTTTTAAGATACACAAAACGCTTTCCGAGGATTACTATCGCATGAAACTACAGTGGAAAACAATAAGCAAAGATCAAGAAAGTAGATTTAGTGAATTTGCTGCTCGGAAAGCTTTAATTGGTATTTTACAAAGCGATTTATCATTGTTTGCATTTTTAGATATATTTTTTATATATTTGCTTTATAAAAACGATCCTTTCAATTGATCTTTTGTATTATTTTCAGATAAAGATGTCTCACGAACGGATCGTACACATGTTTTCTTTGGTGGCTGTAATAACGGTAATCTCGTGCTCCTCAATGACATCTTAATGACGTATTGTATGTATAATTTTGACCTCGGTTAGTTGTTTATTCAAAAAAAAAAAAAAACGAAAAAAAACGAAAAAAAACGAAAAAAATGCGCGGATTTACAAGAAAAAGCTATAATGGCTATAAATCATTTTTTTTAAAACATTATCCAATTGTGTTTTAGGTTATGTACAAGGAATGAGTGATTTTCTTTCTCCTTTGCTTGTCGTGCTGCAGAATGAAGTTCACGCGTTTTGGGCTTTTGTTGGGTTGTTAAAAAGAGTAGTAAGATTTTAATTTCATTAGCTTTTTAATAAATGATTGAAATTATGTTTCATTCGTTCCCAGTTTTTTGATGCAAACATAAAAGACTTGAATAGTTTAGTTTCTTTGGCTGTATGTAATTTCTAACTATTCAAGTTTTGTAAGAGTATCATTTCTCTTTTTGACCAGATAATTATTTTGTGTTAGATTATTTTATAATTTCCCTCTGTCGTATAATAAAATAACTAACAGGAATCAAAACTTCTAACACTCTCCAATTATAGTTTAGTTAAATTGTTTAGTTTTTGTCATAAATTTGTTATTTATAGCACAGAAATTTCGAATTGGACCAGTCAGCTATTAAAAAGCAGTTGATGGATTTGCGTGACCTCCTTATGGTTGTTAATCCCAGATTAGCTAATTATTTAGGTTCGCTGTTTTGATTTTCAGTTTGAATATTTTATGAACTGATCTGTATGAATTATTGTTTGTTTTTAACTATTTGCATATTGAAATTGATTATTTTTCTTCAAAGACATTTTTCATATAGTTCTTTATTTATTTTTTCAGAAAGTCATAATTCTGATGACATGTACTTCTGTTTTCGCTGGGTGCTGGTTGTATTCAAACGAGAGTTTTGCTTCGATGATATTATGCGGTTGTGGGAGGTTGATGCTTTTAATTCAGTTTTCATGTATTCCGTGTATTAATACATTGTATTTCTTCAGGTTTTGTGGACCGATTTACCATGTTCAAATTTCCATCTCTTAATTTGTGTTGCAATTCTTGATCAGCAAATGAATTTCATCATTGAAAACAAGTTTGGTTTGACAGAAATCCTTAAGGCTAGTTTCATTTTTCCTTAATATTTTGACATTTCGAAAACTGAGATTTTAATATTGAATTCAGTGGATTGTGATAATGTAGACCGTTCAAGTCAGAAATATTACAAGCTCTCATGAATTAGAAAAACTGTTAATCAAATCTCTCTAACAGTTATATCTAACATTTACTCTTCTGCAAGTTGCGTCATGAAAATTTGTTGCTTAAAAATCTTAAGAAATTTTCAGAAATATAAATATTTAGATTCTTTCCATTATTTCAGCATGTAAACGATCTATCGATGCATATTGATTTGAATGATACGTTAACTTCAGCGGAAGCTATATTTCATCAACTTGCGGCCAGTCAAGACAAACTTCCAATTCATGTGTGTAAGATTCTATCACTGGGTGATTCTTCTGATTCCAGCGAAGGATGAAAATTGCATCTGCGTCTCATGTGCTATTAAGCACCGAGGAATGCGTTATAAGGTGCTGTTTAAGCTAACATTTGTTTCGATAACTTTGGTAGCATCAGCGTATGGGCAACGCCCTGAAAATCACAGTGACTACTAAAGCTGCTGTAGATTATTATTATATTATTATCGAGACCTGCGTTTAGAGTATAAAATGTCCAGACCCAAAATCACCAGAAATGAAAATGTTTTCTTTTTTTTTTTTTTTTTTCAGTTATCGATTTACTTACCAGTGTTAAAAATGTAATAAATTCCTACGACTTAATCCCTTTTCAACAGATGGGTTTGAATAATCGAAATTATGTGACAAACTTCGCAATCTTATTTATTCATTTATAAAGTAGAATAAGTTTTGAACTGCCATCTTATTATAAACTCATTATATATTTCAAAATAATGTTCTCCAAGATTTTGGCAGGGGTCTTTTTTATATGTAAGCAATTCAATATTCTTTACATAAAAATCTTTCATTGTCTTTCATTGAGAAAAGTGATATCCAGCTAAACCAACAAATGATGGAAAAAATTTTTGTTTGATATATATTATCTTGCATGCCCAACTCACCATTTATTTTTGCAAGGATTTTTTTCTTGAAAGTGTAATAATTTTATTTATTTTAGCTTTGTACATTACTGTGGATCTTCGGCCTAAATTTCCTTCCGTCTGTTTCCGGGTCTTTAATTTCATTTCCTGATATTTCAATATTTTGTTACATTTGACTAATATATTTAATGTTCCCATATTTTCTGTATGAATCTTTATCACGTTATCACTTCGCTTTGTCATATCCTTTTTCAAATAATATTGTGTTTTTCAATTTTGTTCGACAATTTTCTGCACATATATATTCATAAATATATATATATATATATATATATATATATATATATATATATACATATATATTCATAAACCTTATTTTTTAAATTTCTTAGATTAAGTGTTAAATATATTCTCATCCAAATATCTAAATACATATAATTTTTAAGTTATGTTTACTGTGTCAAGTATAATCAAATTCAATAAAACTCACTTTTGCTGAAACAGTCTTCATGATGTTTGACTGGATAGAAATATGTAACGAAGGGATTTGAAGGTCCGTAAAGTAGGAAGAAATAAAGTGAGACATATCAGAGTTCAAATGATAGCAGGTATGAATAAGTAATATTGCTATTTATAACAAAATGAACATTAGTTGATTGGCAGGAATGATGATTCAAATTTTAGCGGTGAAAGAGATCATATATTGCTTTTGGTAGCAGAGAGTAGAGTGGGAGTAAGCCTTCGTACAGTAAAGTATCACAAAAATTGCAAGTAACTGAGAAAATGTGTGGAAAGGATCTATATAGCTTGTTCACTCTAAACAAAATCCAGCGTTATAACTTAATACAAAACAAGATTTCAAGATATCACAGGGAACAACTACTCTAAATTTCAATAATTTTTGATAAGCAGAAATCATTTTGCCAGTGATGCACTAATGCCAATGACACTGAAATATTTGGTGAAGATATTGTTGCTAACCAACTTATCAAGACTTATCAAACAGTTAGACTATTTTCATTTTCTATCCAATTTCATGATAGCATTGTCATTCTAAATTCCCAAATAGCATTCGTCAGTTTCAGGACATTGTCCACTTATTCTGCACTCTATATCTTGAAATTGATGAGATGTTCTATGTCAGATTTTCAAGTAAGGTGAATGAATCATGCTGTCGTCAAATAAATATGAAATTATAATCAATTTTTTGCTCAGCTTTCAAAAATATTTCAAAGCAGTATAATGATGATGCATAACATAAAAATCAAATAAATGCCTTTTGATGATGTGAAAGTGTCGGATAGAGCCTAATAGCCTACCGTGGTGATAAAGGTTAATTTGCACCACAAAATTGAGTCGAAATGTTATTCTTGAACGAAAACAAAATTGTTGTTTGTGTTGTGAAGAATAAGAATATTAAGCGCTAATGTAACATAACAAGGCGTACATGAAACACATTGCACATTGCACAACTATCTATTGATCAAATATGCTAAAACCTAGCTAGGCTTATATATGCACCAGGAATAGAGCAGTGTGCAAGGTGCAAAAATGCATACAATCTGCTCTTGAGAATGTTGTTCATTTCACCGTTTGTTTTAAGTAGTTCGGTTTGAAGGAATGAAATATTTTGATGGATGTGAATAATTGAGAGATTGAAATGGAGTGCCAAATACAAAAGAATGAATGTTAAAGAAAAGTCTCGTGAAGAGGTAAATTATTGAAAGACAGTGAGAGGCGAAGAATATTTGAAAACTTGAATGCTTTGCATGAAAATGTGCATAATATCACTATAAGAAATGATTGGATTTTATGCACAGTTCAATGCTAAGCACTGAAGTGAACTGAAGTACGGTACAGAGGTGTCATGCAGAAGAGAGACACGTCAACAGTATCATCACTTGCAAACATATAACGGACTGCTTGCTTGCTTCCTTGTAGCACTTCAATCTCCCTCCTCCTTTCTTTATGCTTCCTATACAAACCAAAAAGCAGCCCTTCTCCTCCTTATCTTATCAGTTCCACCAATGTCATCGTCGTTGTATATTGCCAACAGATGATAACTGTCATCCTTCAGTGCTTACCAAATCTGTAATTTCCGTATGGATCGCTTTGCTTCCCAATAACTACTGTTAAAACCTTATGAACCAGTAATATTTGTATGATAAAAGGACTACCTGAAACAATTATTCTTCATCCCTACACAATCAAAAAATTTCTGAGTAGAACCGGTACACTTTACACCATGACGTGTCATTTCTCAACTGTTTTTTGAACGTCAATGTAGAACACACGAATAAGCAACTGCCAAGCGACACCAAGCATGTGCGAGCGTTTCGATCTTGAAAATAAGAGTTGAAACTTGAATTAAATGGCGATCTCTATTTTCTGTACTTATCTTCTTATAACACTGAGTACACATAAGGCATTTCATACAGGATTAAATCACTTTCGTCATAATAAATAAATGCACACATTGACTCTGTTTGATAAATTTTATTTCAATCATTCGTGACCGAAGACAAATATTTACAGAGGATCATCCACCAAAGAAAAAATACCATTCCTTCAAGAGGACTGACATTTCTCATCAATCATAAAATGAACAATGACTGGGCCAACAGTTAGTTATCAGAAAAGCATATATAATGTAAAAGCAACAAAAAATATAATAAAATCACAAATCAAATGCAGAAGTCTCTATCTGATCAATTATACCGAACTGTTTGGCTTCTTCCGGACTCATATATCTATCGCGATCTAGTACTTCCTCAATCGTTTCAATATCTTGTCCTACAAACACGATGACAAGAAAGCTTACAGATACACACTAGATCACAAATTAGCCTTTACTATAGTTCAAAAGAATGGGAACAAATCTTAAATATTACTATATTACTAAAAACTGGATGCATAATACTTCTTAAATTACTCCTTATTCACAAAACACTAATAATCATAGGGCAAATTTTAAAATCAAGAAGCATAGTCATTCTCATCAGAGAAACTAAATTTCTCTCACAGACGGAAATATCATTGTAATTAAAAGAATATAGTTACATATGTTGAATACGCTTTACCTGTATGAACGGCATAAATTTTGTTCAACCGTGTTTTCAGTCTACCAATTTCTTCGGCTCGAATCAAAATATCGGATGCTTGGCCCTTAAGAAAATCAGTAAGAAAAATTCGTAACCCAATTAGGCTACCAGATATTTAAATTTCTGAGATTACTGACATAACAGGCGAATGAAATATGTACAAAGAATCGAAACCAAATAGTAAATGTGTACTTCTGCACCACCACTAGGTTGATGAACCATTATGCGAGCGTTGGGCAACGATGTACGCATCCCTTTTGCACCAGCAGACAGCAGAAGACTACCCATACTTGCAGCCTAGAGTGATCACCGAATAATTAGATCTTTTTGGTCCAAGTAAACAGCGCATATACAAATGAAAAATCGGAAGAGAGAAGGATTCAACCACAATTTATTAAAGATTACAAACCGATCACCTGGCCAATACACCAAGTTGCTACTGGAGCGCTAATATACTGCATCGTGTCATAAATACCTAAGCCAGCAGTCACGCTTCCACCTAGAAAAGACTCGAACTTAAAGTCAAGGCTTAACTTGGGAAGAAAAAGACAAAATAAATACAAAACGATTTTCTTACCAGGACACATTATATACATATTAATAGTACTCTTCGCGCTTTCGCCTTGTAAAAAGAGAAGCTGTGCAATAATAGAAGCAGCAACCTGGTCATTTATCTAAAAAACAGTCTATTTGTATATCTCGAAAACAGAAAGAAAGAGAGAATTGCAACTCGAAAGAGAATTGAAGCTATCATCCAGCATCTATGTGATGTCATAAAAATACACGTGAGTGAAGAATAAATGAATAAATTATAACAACCAATTATAATAACAAACCGATGTCATTACACAAACAATACGATCTTTGAGCAGCCGTGAATAAATGTCATAAACTCTTTCAATACGGCCATCCTGATCAACCACCATTGGTATCGTCTGTTGCCTAAGTAAAGAAATATGCAACTGTCGATGGGAAAATAATTGTCGAATAAACGATAATCCTTGCATTCTGAAATTATTTTTATTTCATGTGGCAAAAGGATATATCGCTTTCCCGACAGTTTTATAGAAACAAAAAATTGAGATTTCTATTTGTCAGATGAACGTAGGAGAATTTACATGAATCTAGCGAGTTAGTGATGGTACGGAATCCTCTTTGTTTGCTATAGTCCCCTCCAGAATGTCATATTACATCTTTTGTTTGATTAATACTACACTTAAGACTGGAAATATGAAAAACATTATAGTATTCGATAACATGCAACCACTCTTTTATTGCTTATGTATAACTTGAAAATAATACTATAAAAGCTCTGTTTTTGCATTCCTGAGTTATAATAAATCTCCAGAAAAAAGACCATGGAGAGAAGTAAGATGAAAAATATCAGCAAGAAATTCTTCTAATCACTCTTTTTCCTGTATTACCTTCAATAAAAATTGAAACAAATCGCTACTAGTTCACATTATAAAAGCCAATAAAGTTTACACCTCTAATTTGCTATTAGTCATTATCACCAATCTTAACAGACAGCTCTATTCAGATTTCAATAACCACCTACTTTACTCCTAATTATTCCACAAATTCTACAGCAGTGATCAGCTACCAAAAAAAGAACTGAAAATATAATGACAAAAATATGAATTGTTCACTGCAAGGTAGTTTTGCTTCGTTAACCACAAAAGTGACAATGACTGTTTTATCTCTATATATAATCTTCATAAACATCATTAAGCTATCAAACTAAGCATATAAAACAAAAATTTGCAAATTCCACTTTCATCAACGCTATCCTTTAAATTCACTACAAAGATCGAGCTTAATCTGCATAAGGCTCATACAACCCTAAGACTTACATCATATGAGTAATATTTCAGCTGCAGGAAATCACAAGAGTGACAACACATTTAACAGAAAAGAATTGAAAATACTATAACAAAAATATGAATTGTTCACTGCAAGGTAGTTTTGCTCCATTCACCACAAAATGACTGTTTTATCTCTATATATAGTCTTCATAAACATTATTAAGCTATCAAACTAAGCATATAAAACAAAAATTTGCAAAATCCACGCAAATGTAAACACAACATTTGGAGGTCTACTCTGAAATTGATATTATTTCGGAAAACAACCAAAGGTAATTTTTTTAAAGGCAATTTTTCGAGAAAAAACAAAACTACTGAAAAATCAACTCATCAAATTACAAATCAGAATATATCAACATGGAATGACATGTACGGAAAAAAACACTAAGCTACTAAGAATCAACGGAAATCATCTGGGTTGAACAATCCTCTAGCTCGGCTCATTATACTGTCCTGAAAAAATGCTTGCTACTTGTAGAAAGTCCAAAGAAGTAGCAAGATCCACTGCTTAATAAAAATCAGATGCTGGGAACAGAGAAAATCTTAACATTAAGCAAGACAAACTTTTATCGAAAGGATGCAGTAGATAATGAAGTCAGAAACTATTTTTGACATACCTAAAATTGGAAATGAACTCAGTGTTTTGGCAGGCGGTAAGCATTCTAACAGCTGGGCATACAATTTCTAGCATTAATCACTAACAGTTATTTGTAAATTCAGAAGAGAAGCTACATCACTTTAATTGTGAATTATTTTACAGAAAGACGTAAATGAGTAAATATCGAAAATAACCTTAGTTGGGTCATAAGGAGCTTCCTTCGATGGAATCTCCAAAACGGCCGGTATACTGGCAGTGTATTCATCAACAGCAAAACGTATTTGTTCAGCGATATGTTGATTGATTAGAATTATCGCAATATCATCACGCGAACAAAAATCTTTGAATGCTTCTTCTATCTCATTAACTGTTGTATTTTTGTCCACAATTAAATAATTTGGTCGGCGAGCCTGAAATAAAAAACACATTTTGATTTACATAAAATATAACAGTCAACCACAACCATGAGACTTTGACTTGCCTAATAAACTAAGTATTTATACCAAACAACTTTGTAGCATGAGCTCAAAAGAAATACGAAATGAACCTTATTAAGTTCACCTATTCCACCAAGCAGAAATCCGACCACAGTATCTTCGTCTCCAATCACTGCGATAATTTTTCCTTTTTGAGCAGAATGAGCCATCTGAAATGTTGTTTTTACATGATCCCCTATAAACAGCACAACCAGCAACAAAACACACAACACCACCACAACTACCAGTAAGCCATCGAGAGATCCGAGACGGAACGAAAGATCGAAAGTCGAGTCGCCAAAAATCAAAAAGTGAACAAACGCGTGTTATATTTTTATTTTTGGTCTTCTACTCCTATCGTTCTGTGTTAAGTAGTTCGTAAACATTACAAGGGAAATGTTGAAAATGTAATGAGCGTTAAAATATTCGCATTAAAATCGGAAATACCCTGTAACAATGTTCTTTCCCAACTCTCAACAATCTCTTACTGTACAGCATTCAATCTTTATTGACACTCTCTTTTCCTTTTTCTACCTCACTAAACACATTCTGTTATCCTTTCATAAATTTTATTCATTGAGAGCGAACAAAAATGTTTTGTTCCATTGCAGTGTTGTTTTCCCGATAATTGTGATTTTTTTGGTAGCGTTATTTTTTAGGCATAGGCTTTTTTTTAAAGATTAATTTTTTTGAAGGTTAACGAGGACTTATTTATTTAATTTTATGACGGCCATAGCTTTGTTCATAACATCAGAATTAAGCAACAAGAATAGTGTATTATAGGAAGTATGACAAAGACTGATCGGAATGGGATAGTATGCATTACAAGCATGCAATTATGAACGGTACTGTATTTTTCAAAAAAATGGATAGAAACTGAAACAGTATCTGATTGATAATATACACTATCACTGGGTAGAGGAGCAGTGTATGCGGTTGAAGAGGCAGTGGAGATTGATAAGAATTGCTGGGATTGAGTATTTGAATAAGCTGAAAATTATGTACGAGATATTTTGAAAGATAGAGGGAATGTGACTTATTCCATTGCGATCAAGTATTGGTTGTGTTTCAGGTATTTGTAGTCCCAACAATGACTTCGACTTCTGCTGGCAAGTCATTAGTTGAGACGGATTGTACACAGCACAATCCTTTGGTAGATTTGTCGAGACGAGTTATTGAGGGAAATCTAGACGACGACTTTGAAAAAACGTGGGATCAATTTTTAGTTGAGAATTCAAGGCCTCGGAATGTAAGTATTATCGATAAGGTTTGTCCATTATTTATTCTAATTGCATTGATGAAAGGCATTTCCTAGTCAACTATAGGATTGATCCATCGAAGGTTACTTGTATCAAATTACGCATTGAGACTGATACATATGAAAACAATTTAAGTAGTTTGTGTAGTACAAATTGGCTAAGATTCCCTTTGACTTCAGCTAGACGATGAGTATCTGATAAGTCTTACAATGTCTACCGCAGCTCCTAAGACGACTAATCTATACGAATTGGCTGATCAAATGGACTCTACACAAAATCTGGTCGATTTGTGGGCTGAGGAATACGTAGCACGACATCAACAATCCAAGAATTTAGTTGAACAGTGGGCTAACGAAGCAGAGCAGCAAGCCAATTATTTACCAGAACAATGGGCTAAGGAGTTTTCTGATTTAAACTTTCATGAGCAAGAAATTGAAGACCGAGATAAAGCCAGGTATATTACTATCATGGATTCCAGGTTTTCAGTGCCAATATGATGTTGTATGCAGTAATCGCAGACCTTGCTTAAAACAACAAATTTTTACATAAAAATAAATTCTGGAACTTTCTACGTTTTTAAAATTGTTGCAGTGACAAATCTGAGATGTGGGCCACTGAATTTCTCGACGAATTTGACCAAAAATCGCAAATGGACAAAGGATTTGCATTGGAGGCTGGTTTTGCACTAGAAAGTTTAGTTGACAATAAAGTAAGAAAGAAATGAAATTGCTCAAGATTAAGACTCATCCAATTAATCAGTTAACTAATTAAAAATGCCACTTTTTTTAGAACGCGATCTGTGCTTCTGAAATGAAAACTGAAACAAATGCTAAAACATTTGTAGGAAGGTAATCTCTCATTTCTTTATACGTTCATTCATTTTGGTTTGTATTGATTCCTTTCTTTGAGCGGTGGTGTTTAGATATTTCGAGGATATTAAAAAATCTACATGTTGTACAATGTGTTGGAATACATATCGTATTGTTTGGATTAGAAACGAACAAAACCTTAGTTGGTATTGCTGATTTTTGTTTATTTAAATTGTGAAAATCAAAGCTTTTTCAACCAGTATCTCGTTTCAGGACACGCTTTGATGAAATGTATGTTTTCGGAAGGAATAATCCGTACTTAAAAGAAATGGATGCATTCGAAAAAGGAAAACAAGCGCTGGATGCTGGACTGATAGTTGATGCTATTTTATATTTTGAAGCTGCTGTACAACAGAATCAAGAAAGTTTTGAAGTTTGTTTTTCTTTTACTGAGCTTGTAATACTTCGTGGTCATCTAATCTGTAGTGTTTTTGATAAAAAACTTTTGTCCGTGGGAAATATACAAATTTCTCCATTTTACTTTGGCGTTTAAATCTATTTTCTAATTATTTCTAGCCGTTTTAATATTTCGAGAAACCTTCGATTCACAGGGCTGGTTTCTACTTGGTAAATGTCATACTGAAAACGAGAACGACAAACAAGCAATTGCTGCATATAAGAAAGCTTTGGATTTGAAGCCAGAGCAAAAAAAAGTAATTTTTATATGTTTCAAATCAAAATTTAAGAACCATGCAATAAGGAGACATATGCACATGCATTAGTGTATAAAATATAAAATTAGCTTTTAATGTTCCAAACTTTTACTAAATTGACCAAATTGATTCTTATATCAGATTATTGGAAAAATTTAATAAATGAGAAGCTAATTTAAAGAATAGTTTTAAAGAAGCCATCTTTAATGGTAGAGCATGTAAATGCTTATAACAAAATCACTACTTTCTAAGGAAATACAATTAGAAATATATATTATATAATTCTTAGCTCTACAATTTTTAATATCATGTACGCTTGTTATCAAAAGTTTTAATAAAGTATCACTGCCTTTTAATTTTATTTTTGACTTCTCTTTGGTTGTGCTCTCTTACGAATCAGGACTTACCTTTCGATTGACATGCTCTCTTCATTTTATAGATACATCTTGCTCTTGCCACAGTTTACATTAATGAATATATGGAATTAGAAGCATTAGAAGTTTTGAAACAGTGGATTATGTCTTATTTGGATGGTGATTCAATTCCGTTGGAATTCAAAACTGCTCCTAGTAGTCTAACTGAGGACCTTACTGTTCGGACGCAACAGGTTTTTTAAACTTATATTTTTCAGTCAGTCTCTTGTTACTTGCTTATGAATTAATATTCTGAAGATTGTCAATAAAGCTGAAATAGATAAAGTGCCTAACTGCATATGCCGGAAAAAGTCGAGATTTTGTCTTTAAAATACAAGTGGTTTCATGGTTTGTAGTATAATGGACCAGTATTAGTCACTTGGTGAAAGTTCTGCTATTCCTAGTTGGGGCTTGAATAATCATCATTAAAACAGGGATTAGTAAGTAGACCAATAACAAAAGTTATCAGAATTATTAAAAAATTAGGGTTTTTTAACGATTGTTGAATAAAAATTAAAGCATAGAAATAACAAATCATTAATAAACTTTAATTTCCTATGACGCTAATATTCAGGTGGAAGAACTAATTCAAAAAGTGCTTTTAAATACGGAAACAGTTGATGAAGCAACACTTCACAATGCGTTAAGTTTGGTGTACAACATTAAGGGTGATTATAACCGAGCTGCTGAAGAAGTGGAATTGGCACTTGTTTATAGTCCAAAGGTTCGTGCAGTATGAGCGCAAATCATGAAAACATTCGGATTTTCGAAGTTTTTAAAATCTGAAGTTAGCTGAAAATTCACAATACTGAAAATTGTGTGAGATTCCAAAATAAGGCTTTATAGTTATGAGCACAGTGCATTTACTGTCAGTGGAATAACTGCTGACTTACTGTCGGTCATCTTGATCAAGTTTGACTGACCGAATAGTTATAATTTACATTACTCCCTTTTATATCTTTGCTTATTTATTGGACTGGCGATGATTCATTGAAATTGAGAATAACTGATAAAACATTTTAAAAGAAATACCTCATGACTCACCTCATATACACTTGCTCGTTTATTCCACACACTAATTTTTATACGATTGCTTTAAAACAAATTTTTTCAAAATGTTGTAGGACTACGTACTTTGGAACCGTTTGGGAGCAACACTGGCTAATGGTAAACGCGCTGCGGAAGCAATTGCTGCTTATCGCGAAGCTCTCAAGATCTGTCCAAACTATACACGTGCTCGTTGTAATCTAGGCATCGCTTGCATTCAATTGCAGAACTACAAGTATGTGTGCTGTCACTCGTTTTTATTGTTCTTATTTTCTCAATTGATTCTGGTTAGATTTAATTTCTTGAAATGAACAGAACTGTGTTGAAAAATTGTTCTTAAACAATGATCAGTTTTTTACCTAGTCAGAGTTAGCAAATAAATTCGTTGCGTTTGTCAGTTGTGATTTATTGTTCGACATATTTTATTTTCTCTGATATATTTGTAACCTATTTTCGTTATCTTCTTATATTAAGTAAGGTCAAAATCAAAATACTTTTGAACCCTTTTTTTTTTTACTTTACTGCATATTTTAGAGAAGCAATCGAACATTTTATTACGGCTCTTCAACTGCAGCAGTCTTATAGCTCCATTTTATCATCTACAATTTGGATGCCTTTACGCGCAGCTGTCGTTCGAAGTTGTTTGCCCTATGCACTGGATTTGCTAGCAGCTGTCAACGAGCAAGATTTGGAGAAGTGTATTCGTTTACTGAATTGATTTATGCGAACTGTTCAACAGTAAAGACTTCTCGAATAGAAATTGTGATTTCTTCATCGATTTAAAATTTAAAAATTTTTAAATTTGATTTATCCATTTAAAATTTTCCTATCCCTGTATTCTTAATTCTATTTTTTTCTCAGTTTTTCCACAGTCATGATATTGCGTCCCTTTTTCTTTGTGCTATTCAGCATAATTCCATGTAATCCATTGATGCCCGACCAATCAATGCTTCCAATGTTCGATAACTCTAGGAACAAACCAAACTATCTTACTTCAACATCTCTTTATGGTGGAAATGTTGACGTTGTAGAAGAGTGGGATTCAGTTGCTCCACCGCCATATAAAGTTGTGAGCACTGTAATTCGCGCTTCAAATACAGTGCATGATGTTGAAGAAAAAGTTATTTCTGCCATCAAAGAAAGTGATACAATGAAAGATAAGCTTTATATACATGAAACAGACAAACAACCTAAAGAATCTGACAGTATCTCCAGTTCCATGCCTGACGGAACCAACGAAATTAACAGTAACTCTGAAGGGATGACTCGGAACGATAAAATTGCAGAAAAGAGCATAATTACACGTAACTCTTCAGCATGTTGTTTTCTAAGCATAAATTCGACTGTTACAGTTACAGTAGGATTCACGAACCACATATCCAGTAATATATCCAGTAGTATGAACAACACTTTTGAAAAAATTCAGAACAAATTAGGTCACGGGGAATTTGCGTCAGATTTGCGAATTATCGATCTAGTGGAAATTTTTAATACTTTAGCTATCTTAATAGCTCCTACTTTGTCTTCTGATGTAACTAACCCAACTCACTATCCTTTATTATTAGATAATTCTACATTCGGAAGTGCAAACAGTGAATTTTTCAATGAAGTTGATGCGCGATCTGTTAGGAATTTTAATGAGAAAATGCTGGATAGAACATTCTCACGAAAATATCGTACTGAGGACGAAGCGGAAATAAGTCATATGAGGGAAAGGGAGGGGCGTACAGATGATAAACATTCTGTCAGGAATATAAATGTTAGTGATTATGCAGTTGTCAAAAATGGGCGAGATCATGAAGATTTTGGAAGAAATTCGAAATTAGATCCGCAAATGATTCCCAGGTCAGAGTTCGCAAAAAACGGTATCAATGAAGAAAACAGAATGAATGGTTGTGGGGTTAATCACATTGATACTTCGAAGGAAGAAGATTTGGAACAGCGGAGGTCATTAAATTGCAAAACAGTGAATGAAAGGAAGCTCTGGGAGCCACGGGATGGAACTAATGAAAAATACAACGAAGAAGGTGAAAAAGATGGCAAATCCCCGGTTCTGATACATTTTGAGAGAACTCTCTGGGAGAAATTGCTTGCAGGTCTAAAATGTTCCCAGAGAGATTGCAAAGAGGCACTAAGACCTACGGAAAGTGTTCGCAGATACTTAATTGAACCGTCAATAAGTCGTGCCAGAAAACACAGCAGCGTGCAGTCGTAGTAACCTTTACCTTTTTATGCTCATCTTTTCTTCTAAGTCAGATTTGTATATTTCATTTGTTGTTTTGATTGACCTTTCCTGCGAAACCATTTATGAGTGAGGAGGGGTTTATGGATGGAGGCATTATGAAATTATAAATTAGTGTATAACCATATTATTATCTAGTAATTCAATATGCTTTTATTCAGTAGTCACAATTCTTCTGTTCTGCTCTTCACACATATCAAACTGTTATTGTTGTTTTTTAGTATTATTGCATGTATTTTATGATATTTTATGATTCAGTCATCAATCAAGTGATCATCAATCATTTCAGGAGCTGTATAGTAGAGAATCTTTTAGGATGATAGGGAAAATCTTCCAAAAGTATGTTGAAAAATTCACTGCATATTTCGTCTTTTAAAATTCACTTTCATATCTATTTATGGTATATGTTTGTGGCGCCTAAAGTCTCAATTATATTATAACCGTTACTTTTTGTATTTTTCACTTGAAAGGACTTTTTCTAATAAGTGCCTCAAAACAAAAATGTTGATTAAAAAGCATAGTGACGGTGAAAAAAAATCGTCTTGTTCACTTGTCATATAGGTAGCTGTTGTTCATTTTCCTTTGCTGTAACACCGTTGGTTAAAGCTCATATGTTGTTAGTTTTCAATTTAATATGTTAGTTTTACGTGCCGTAGTCGTGTCTTGGAAACTTTTACTTTCTAGGAACTGGAATCGATGGAGAATATTTGCGAAACTTTTGTTTTAGAATTAGAAATTAAGGTTGGAAATAAAGTATTTTACTAAACTATGACAAGAGAGTCTCTTTTATCTTTTTCAAGATGAAGGAACATCAAGTCTTCGTACAATAGAGATATTAATGCATAAGCGATTTTCGGCAACAGAAGATGGAAGGGGAGGGAATGGTTGAAGGTCATTCCTCTGAGTTGCCCCTATTGGTATCTTAAAGCTGTAGTGTTTGAGTAGTAAAGCATGAATTAATAGAGGAAGAGATGGTGGCACTTCTGTCACACTGTACAGAGATAGTGGTCATTGAACTTTAGCGCAATCCGCCCGTGATCTTTATTCCATAATAAACATCCGCCCTTCACTTTACTCTGTCTTTTAATATCACATTTTTTCAAGAGAAAGGATTGCAAGATTTTTTCGTTTATTGAAATTTTGAAAGCAGAGATAATGAAATAATTGTCACCTGAACTAATCATTCAAGCTTTCTTTTCGATCAGCGCAATGTGGAAAACAATGCAAAAGATGAAATGTAAGTTATCGTTAAAAAACCGATGTTCAATGTGTATGTAGTCGAGCCATATTGGGTGTTATTCCAAGAATATTTTTTTTATTTCAAAATTGAGACTGTTTTAAAACGTCTTTTCATTCTTCTGAGCAAAACCTTGTTATTTCACTCAAATTCCATAAAAAGTATTGATTATTCAGATATTGTTATTATTACTTCAGTCTCCAAATAATTCTCTTTTACTTCCATATCAATAAGCTATACCTTCATCCTAGCCAAAATAATTTGATGACCAAAGAAAAAAACGATGAAGAAAAATGAAGAAGTTTTAAAATATCATGCTGTTAATCACTGAACCATTTATATGAAGGATTACTTCATTTTTAAAAAATGAATTCATTAGCCGTTCTTGACTAAGTTTATTTTTGCTCAAATGCTGTTTTTGCTACCGATCAAATTGATTGTTAGAAAATTCAAAACTTATTCCAATTTAACTCGATATGATTTAATTTGATTTTGGTTCATTCCGTCACTTTTGCTGCTCTTTTCGAATGCAAGACGTCGTCACTTTACAAACATATCAATTACAATAAAATATTATCATTTCAGACACAATTTAAAAAACTAAGTGATGACGTTATTCTGATGTGAATGGAAGAAAGTATCGTCAATGTGTTAGCGTAGCAGAAATAATTTGTTATGTGCAAACTTTTTTAGCAAAGATTTCAACATTTTCCAACCAGGAAATTCGTCCTGTTTTCATGATTTTTGATGCCTGCACTACGTCCATAACTCACTAAAATTTTTGGGATTGACTATACTTAGAAGATGTCAAAAGTTTGTAAGAGAAACTAAAAGTACCAGATTTCTTTTCGGTTTTAGTAAAATTTTCGTAGATATACGCTTATCAGTACTTCGTAACATCACTGTAGGTCTGATATTGAATTACTTTAATCCAGCAATTCACTACTTTTCAATGAATTCATCAAAAATATCTGTGCTGTAGCGAATCTATCTTCAGGAAGGGAGGAATTTCATTTTTTTTTCTTGTCGCTGATAGGTCTCAATGAATCTAGGAACCAAGTTGTTTTTCCTATTTTGCTTTAAAGAATGGAAATGTAGAATGGCATTTTAACACAGACTGGTAAATAATTCGTCTAAAATCAAAGTCTTGCTTTTATGTACTACTGTTATTTGTCAGGGTTTATTTTAACTTCAGTTTAGGAGGTTTATTTTAAGTTTAATTCGGAGAACAAGAACTGGTTCACGCTTTGAATTTTTAGTGTGTGTACATATACATATTTGTGTACAATAATGATATGTGGTGACACAATAAATGACTGCTTCGATTTTCGGTATGCTAAAATACTGAACCATGTTAAGCATTTTTTTAAATATTTTCCGGAACCCAATTTTGTTTTTTTGTTATAATCAAAAAGAATACCCTCTTATCTCATTACCTAATACCATTTCCTTATACCACACAAACAAATTAATTCACATCCTGTCTGACTACTCGTATTCTGTATTCTGCACAGTGCGTACTAATTTTTCTTTGCTGTGATACTTATAGAAATAAGTTTGTTTCCATGACCGACTGTTAGTCCACTCAACTTCGATTTTTTTTCGGCAGTTGTTTGGCGGTTCTTTCTTTGTTTCCCTACGTGTATAAAAGAGGAAAATTTTCAGCACCAGAATCTATTTTGTTTCCCAAAGCTTAAAATTAATCTTCGTAAGTAGTATCATGTGTGTCAACACTTGATGAAATATGACAAAGTCCAAACGAAGTCATATTTGAATAAGTTTCACATATACGTTATAAATCCACAAGTCTTAAAAATATGCAACTAATCCGGGTACTGTATACCGTGAGCCGAAATACTGTGAATAAATTCCGCAACATTTCCTTCTTATCGTTGTCATCAAATTAAGAAATATATTCTTTTCCCGTGACATTAGAAATAAAGCAAACCTTTCCATCTGATCCATTTTTTTAAGGAATGCAATAGCCAAATTCATTTCAGTATAGTCTGATAGCTATATTCAATAACTATATTCATCTTTCTTATCAGTGTACCTGTCTAAAAACAGAGCAAGTTCAATAACTTTCAGTAACTGCTTCTGCACGTTTCACATCAAAATGAAAAGCACACCAGATTGCTCTCCTGATCCCGCACCAATACTTTCCATAAAATGCATCCTTCTCTTTCTTTCTTATATTCTCTCAGTCATTTTACATTCTTTCAATGAGACAATACATGCATACACATCTATCAGTTTACAAAGCCTTCCCAATTATCTTTCTCCACTCTTTCATCGCTTTTTCTTGAACTATGATATTGTAATGCAGCTATGCTTTCTCTGATAATGACAACACTGTTATAAACTATAGACAATACATTCGTTTCTTGCAAAGGCTTTTACTTTTTTTATGGATGTATGCTGTAAAAAGCTAAACGCAAAATTTAAAAAAAAAAAAATTTAAACACATCATAAAGCGCTTGTATCTACAGTTGCAATCACACGTAACACTACTTAATATAAACAATGGAAAGGTGCAGGAGAATCACTTCAATTAATCGAACAGCACAGTGATATTGCTTATGATATTCACAGAAACATCGTTATTAATCTCATTTCTTAACAATTATTTGCAAAACTTTTTTCCTTTACATATTTGAAGATGAAAAAAGTAAACGACAGGCACTACATCTTATAGTTCAGTTCATATGTGACTGAATTTCATTCCATTTTGTTCAAGCTATCCAGCTGTTTGTTCAATTCCTATGCAATGCTATAATTAAACAATATTTTTTAGCAACTTATAAGACACTCTCATCTGCATTTATATTACATCTAACACCTAACTAAATTGGAGGGATGTGTTGAGCCACTTCCACATCTACTTCATAATTTAGGTTCATATATTGCTTTTGCGTTTCTTTAACGACTTCACGCTGGCAATGTCTGCCAGGGAAGATTTATTAACAGTGTCTCTAGTGACTTATTCTTTCTGCTAATCTTGAAGCCTAGAAGGGCCTCACGTACCTTCAGGATAGTTCCACACGCGCACGTGACCGTCAGTACCCTCATCCCCAACACCACTGCGTACGACGAACAATGAACGACACAAAACACAACTCGGCTTGTTGAGAGGGTCGGAATGAAAATTGTAGCTCAGTTGGCATAATTGGGAGGGGTGTTGGTGGTAGTTTTCTCCAGTATCTTTCCTTGCTCATTTTAAGGAATAAAAAAACCAGAAATAAGATTTGTGAGATATCGCAACTATTTCTGCACCTTAAATATATGATCCTCATTCTTTTGAGGAGCATATATTTAAGAAAATGTTGCAGTTTTGAAATATAAACCAATTATCTTCTGTCATCCAACAATAGTTGATGTGAGTTAACAATAAAGAACCGAAAACTTAATGGAATTAAAACTGTTAAAATAGGCAGATTCTAGACATTTAAGTTGCTTCCCATTCATTTGGCTAAATAAGTAAGATCGAGATATGTACATTGGCTGGCAAACTCTTCTCGGCCGATGGAATACGACAAAGAATTCGAAATCTCTTCGAAACCTCAACACTAAATGACGAACGACGTTACTCACTTATTGCATGGTCTGAAATGATAATTTCTGGTTTGTATTCTGCATCATCTGCTAATGAGTAGTGCGTGGCACGACGTGTACCGTGGCATAGACGGGGAATGCTTTTAAGGAATGGAGAGAAGTTCGGGAATGATTGATTAAGGGT